CTGATAATGAATGTAAAGCACAATTGTACAGGCTGATGTACAGTATATGTGATTTATCATTTTTCCTATTGTAATTATGTCTGAGTGGAGAGTACATTGCAATAAAACCATCAAGCAGGATTAACAGTTATGCTCCCCTCCAGTCCCCAGGTCTTATCCAGATTTACTCTTTTATCACCCATCTCTGAGTAAAGCTACAAACACAACAAATTGTGAATTCAAGACCATTCCATCCAACATTATTAAACATGTCATTCCAACGTCAAGTGACAAATGCTCAGCAGAAGCATTTCCACATCTCTTGCTTTATTTTCAGCTGTTTAGTTCTGAAACTTTCCGGGCTCCAGAGAAAACACTGCAACTGGTCATGGCAGGGTCACAGTTGGTGGTGGGTGGGACATGTGGCAAGGAGGACAAGGTGAGAAGGGAGAAAACTGAAGACACCAAGTGGGACAAGAATAAAAGTGTGCATAAAAGAAGGAGGACATTGGTGAAGTACGAACTGTCAAGATGGCAATGAAGTGGACAAGATGAGGTCTTACAATGTCTAAAAACAATAGATTTTCATTTTGAGGAAACAAAATTCAGGGCAGCATGGTGACGTAGTGATTAGTGCTGTCGCCTCAGCAAGAAGGTTCCAGGTTCGAGTCCCGGCCGACCTGTGCCTGTGCAGGTTCTCCGGCTTCCTCCCACAGTCCAAAGACATGCAGCTTAGGTTGATTGGTGACTCTAAATTGCCTGTAGGAGTGTGTGTTGTTGTCTGTCTCTAAGTGTCAGCCCTGTGATATCCTGGCGACCTGTCCAGGGTGTCCCCTGCCTCTCGCCCAATGTCAGCTGGGATTGGCTGCCCCCCCCCCCATGACCCTGTTCAGGATAACTAGTATAGATAATTGATGGAAAACCAAATTCAGGAAATAAACTGTTTCCTAATTGCCACTTAGAAATACAGAAACAAAAAGTAACAGAACTAAATTACTGACAGTTGTCAGTGATGTCATAATTAAGCTACTGTATACTTAGGTGTGACAGATATTTTTGTGGGCAGTGGCAGTGCTTTTGTAACTGATGAGGGGATTTCTTACTGATTTTTCTTTAGAAATTAAAAATCTATCCAAAATGTTCCCAAATAGGAGAAGTCCTTCTCTTTCTCTGTGGCCGCAATTCTAAAATGATGCTGTCTGCCAAGTGCCATGCTACTAGGGGTACATGATATGCTGACAGCAGCAGAGAATCATCCACGTGAATGAGCCTTTTGAAGCACAAAGCAAATTGGTCACATGATTCCAGTAAAACGAGGCCTCATTTGTCATTGGTCACATGACAATTTGTTTGGAACCACCCTCTCTGCTTAACACAAACCTCGATACTTCGGTGTCACACATAAGATATGCAATCTCATTGTGGAATATTTATATGCAAAAAAGAGGGGCTAAGAAAAATAGTTCTTCATTTGATTTCATCATCTGGCATGATTTTCTACTGGGTCAGAATATAAAATGACCAGTTACTTTGCCTTGTGGAAAAGCATCTCCATTTCTTTTTCTACTTCACTGCCTCTTCTCATATCTCTGAGCTAACATCTCTGGGTCAATTCTTCAAAATGACTGGTTCAGAGGTTCTGCTTAGCGAGTTTGTTGTGAAGTATCTGCACATTTACTGATCAGTTTCTAAATCCACATATTCCCTCAGCCACATTTGTGGATACAGTATTTCACAGCAGCCACTGGTGTTGGTGCTTTGAGTGATTTGGGCTGCTACTCCACATTTCTTGAGGTTATGGTTACAGAGCTTTAATCTTTATCCTGCATCCCCACTGGCTTACAGAGCAAATAAATGATAACGGAAGGCTGCATCAAGTACACGCATATTAAAACTATGTGTAGGGACATGTTTGATCATGTTTCAGTAACAGTCACTTTGGATTTTTTGGTATACAAAATCCTAGAGGATGACAAAGAATGTTTGCAGCAACTATGACTAATGGAGAATTG